CTAAGATTATTTATATAGTCTAAATAAATTAATTAGACTAGAATGATTTTAGCATAATAGATTTAATTAAAAGCCTTAAGATATTTTGATGGGAGGATAAACATCAACCTTATTGGATAACGATGAAAGTTTTAAGGATAAAGATCAAAAGTCCATATGTAAAATAACTCCTAATCCTTAGAGGATTAGAAAGAAACAACCATAAGTCCATTTAGGACTTACTTGTCGCCCCTCTTCTTGTCTTTGAAGAACAAGAAAACTCTCCCCTATAAATAGGAGGAGAGGTGCGGCATAAAGAGGGATTTTAAGAGAGAAAATTCAGCGAGACTTAGAAAATAAAAGGGATACACGATCGACATAAAATAAGGAGAAAATTATTTTCTCCCTAACCTAAGCATGCCTCCTCCTCTCTTTTCTCTTTGGGTTGTTGCAAACTTATCCGGATTAGATTTTTATAGGAAACACTACACATATCAAAAAAGGTGGAGCTAACACTTTATCAATTTTGAGTGCTTTTTTATAGGAGCTTAGATCGTGTGGATCATCAACGGAGGTCGGACACTTGGATAACTTTTTTGTTAAAGAATTTAGATCTATGCTATAAGAGATAATTCTTTATTCATTATTTTAATTCCTGTATATATACTTAGTTGATTCAACGACATAATCTGTGTGGATCATCAACGGAGGTTGGACACTTGGATGACTTTTTTGTTGAAGAATTTAGATCTGTGCTAGAAGAGATAATTCTCTATTCATTTTTGTAATTCATGTATATATAGTTAGTTGATTCAACGGTATGATCTTGGACCTTTTAGATGGAGAAATTTTTTTATTTATTTTGTACTTCCATAGGATGTATGATCCTTCACGAGTGCCCTACCTCGTAAACCCATAAACACCCCATAGCCCCACATAGCCCTTTCTAGCCCCACGGCTAGCCACTCCCTCACAACATGGTAGGCCAACTCCCACTCATCCGAAGCTCCCTCTATCTAGAAATCCCTTATAATATCTTCGAAGCACGTTATAGCCATCCTCATAACAACGAACATCAACCACCCCTACTAGCAACCTAAAACCCCTTATCGGTGGCGACAAAATCTATCCAAATGTCCTTCATGGCAAGCCCTTTCTCCTTATGTTGTTTTGGCCAAAAAAAGTGCTAAAGGATTGTTGTTATCAATTGCATAATAGTAATAAAAAAATTTTTAGCCTTGGATAAAAATAGAACATAAAAAAAATTATTGTTTATTGATTATGTTTGGTAAGAATAACATGATGTTGTAGTTTATATTGGTTTTTGATAGGAAAAACATAGCAGTAGCTTTGTTGCTAAGACCCTTCAAGTTGCGGTAACTTTGGCAACTTTCAAAGAAGGTGGAAATTTTTAGAATCATTATAAAATTTATCATAAATTTGGTAAATTTATAGCAACTTTGGTAGTAGTAGCAACTTGGATTATTTATACCGACTATGGAGAGACCTTCGATCACTTTAACAAGACCCATATGATGTTTTGGCAACGTACAACTACTCTCCTTTCCTAATTAACCGAATCATTAGTTATAATCGAGTACAAAAAGAGTAAAGCCGACTCTTAAATTGAACACTTGAACTATAGAACTTTTTCGATAAAACTCCTACCATGATTATACCCCTTTAAAATGTGAATGAAATTGTAGCATTTCATTATTACATTCATGATTTAAATGTTTTTGAGATGAATGTTGCTGTAATTGCTATTACAAACCAATTACCCTATTCAAAGATTTGTAGCTTTAATGCAAGTTTGTACTTATTTTTATGACTTGATTGACTTGTCATATTTGATTGCAATGCTCGAAACAAAACTCGTTAGTGATTTTTCATTTATGTGATGAAACCGCTAGTGATTTTGAAATCATTTTATCTCGTTTTCTGTTTGCTCAAAATGAAGTTACCGAGTGGCTTCCTATTTATGTGAATGGAGCTACTAATGGCTTCTAAACCAATTTTCTTTAACTTTAAATTACTAAAACAAACTATCGATGGCTTTTCACTTATATGATGAAGTTGCCAGGTGGTCTCAAAATTATTTTATTTTGCTATCTCGTTTGTCCGAAATAAAATCATTGGTGACTTTCTATTTATGTGAAGAAGCCACCGAGTGGCCTCCAAAACAGCTTATTTGCTCCTCACTCAATCTAAATAAGGTGGTAAGTAACTTCCCATTTTTGTGACAAAGTCGTTGGTAGCCTCCAAAAGTTATGACTCGAAGTCATCGGTAACTTCTCACTTGTGTGAATAAAATCGTTGGTGACTCATTACTCATGCTAATAAATGGCTATTCATTTTTAAAAACTCACCTACTTATGATAATTGGTCGTATTCACTAAAAACTAGCCAAAATTCTAACTTTCCCTCACCTTTCCTCTTTGAATAAGGGGTATTGGCTTTCAACCAGACTCGAACACCTAAACTATTTTGTTTTATATCCAAACCCCTAAAGTACTCTATTTTCACATCTTAATAAAATGAATTCATTTAAATAGGTGTAAAAGCATAACATAGTAAAAAAGCGATTTTTATTTTCATATGCAAACAATGCAAGCTACCTTAAGTAGGAGGGATGGTGATGATCTTATATCTTCTTCATATGTAATTGATCTCTTACATAAATATCTATGTAGACTAGTATGTTTAGAGTTTTCTAGTTTTTCCTAATTAGTTAGGTGGTAATCCTTATTCGCCCACGATTCTATACTTCCTTCACTCGGTCGATGTCAACAATATATGTATGTATGTATGTATAATTTAAGATGCTTTTATCTAAATCAATCAAACCATATAAATTTTAATGTGTATCAAATGTCTATCTAAATCAATCAAACCATATAAATTTTAATATGCATCAAATGTCTATATAATTAGATTTTAAAGTGAATTACTAAATATATTAAAATCTAAAAGCATTGTACATACACTATTCACTTTCTCTATTTTTAATATTCATTTACTATTCACTCTCTTTAAAATCACTATTTATTTAATGTTTGTACAAAAAAAATTCATTTTTGTCCCTCTTTTTTTAACAATATTTTTTGATCCAAAATTTTATTTTTATTCGTTTTGGTCCCTACATCCTAAGAGGAGAGAGAGAGAGAGAGAGAGAGAGAGAGAGAGAGAGAGAGAGACTATTATTTTGGCCATCTTAATGGTCAATCTTACCACTACTTTGTTTGTCTCGAAGAGTAGAATTTGTTTTTGGTGGTAAGAAGCTATAAAATGGTAGGAAGAGGTAGATCGAAAGCTCGAAATATTTTGAGTTTTTTATTTAAAATTTTATGTGTTTTAAAATGACTTTTGAGATTTTAAATGATTTTTTTTAATGTTATTTCAATGATTTTGAGATATTTTTAGACAAATTCGAAGCTAAATTTGGTTTTAGGAGGTCCGAAATAATTAAACTTGGTTTTTTGATGAAATCGATCATTGAAAATGCAAAGACCATCGGAAATGAAAAGGAATTTTTTTTTTTTTTGTTTTTTTGCCTAGGCCTAGCACTTCGAGGCTCGGGTGCGTAGGCCCGATCCTCTAGGCCTAATTCGGAGGGCTTTCTCCTTGGTTTGTTTTCATTTTTTTTTTCCTTTAATTTTTTAATTAAGATTTTTTAGAAAAATTTTATAGAATATCGAATGTTAATAATTATGTTTTTCATGTAGCGTGACAAATAAATAAATAAATATATATATATATATATATATATATATATATATATATATATATACATTTTTTAAACAAAATTTTTTTCTCTCTCTATTTTTTTTAAAAAATAAATTGACACACACACACACACGTCATGCATTTTTAGAATTTTTAAATGATAGTTACTTATATATAAATATATAATTATTTTAATTTTAAAGGTTAAAAGTGTATTCCAAATGGTTTTTCATAGTTCACTAAGTATGGTCAAAACGTATAAAAAAAGCTATTGAATTATCGATTTTATTAAAAATTTAATTATATATTTTCATATGTAACACTAACTATTTGCTATAAATATATTTTTTAAACACTATAGAATCAATTTATTTGAAATAAATAATTAAAAAATATATTTTTTTAAAATCCAATTATTCAAATATAGTTTTTTTTTTATGCTAACATTGTTGATTATTTTATAAATAAATATATATAGATCAAATGCATATATTTTTTAAGAATAATCATCTAATTAGCCTTAAATCAGAGTATTTTTTTTGTTAGTTTTTATATAAGTCTATACATTAATTATAATTTTATTTTTAAATACATTCTTATGAAAAAATGTATTTTAAAATATTTTTTAATTTTTGATTTGATTAATATTTTAATATAAATTATTACAAGTTTTTATTTCAGAATATATGCATAAAAAATAAATTATTTTTTTAAAATAAAAACTTTACAAAAAACATAAAAAATACAATTAATTAAAAAATTATAAAATTTTATAATAATCTTATTCTAATAGAGTAATCGACTAGTGTTGCACTAAATGACAATGATGGCCCTTGCAGAAGTCATACAAGTTTCACGTCTTGTCCCAACACAACACTTTTGGATTTGTTAAGAGTTAAGTTGAACTTACCATGACTTCATTGGAAGTTACTGAATTCTCGAAAGGCTTACTTATTTCCCCGAATAAAAGTTACAGAATTTTGAGTACTTCAGTTATATTTCAGTAGCAAAAATTGAAGACCCCCATAACTTGAAGCTATGGTAACATCGCCTCACCTCACTTCCCGCTGACGGTCGAACGTACCTGCAACAGAAAATCTACGTCTAACACAACAAAATCTTCAGCTTTACTGCAAAGCCAACACGTGTCTTTACAAGTCACCTTACTAAGCTCTCCGCTCATTATAAACATTTTCCACTTCTTTTTGCAAGTTCTGAGACTGAGAGAGTTACCAACCATCAAATTTGCACAAATCTCGGAAAAAAAGAGAGTTTTTGATCGCCGGATTCCGGTTATGGAGGCCAACACCTCAGAGGAGGACCTCCCCGCTGGATGGGCTGTACACTTCACTCTCTTAAGGTCCGGTCGCAAAATTAAGGTAGTTGTTTATTTATTTATTTATTTTTGTTTATGGTCTAAAGTGTTTAATTGAATTAAAAAGTGTAAGTATTTCCTCCATTAGTGAGAGAAAATGGTTTGCATGTTGATGTTGGTTAAAATCATTGCAATGCTAATATCCAATTGCCAATATAATTTTTGGATTGTATTTCATGACATTGTTTTGTTTCAGAAATTTATAATTATATGGTAATTCTGACCATGGTGTGCCTTAATTTTGTTTAGTTCATGTTGGTTTGCATGATTAGCTGCATGTTAAGTAAACAATGCTGTGTAGATTTTTTATAGTAGGAATAGAAGAAATAAAGAAAAGGGTATATGAGGAACTGTTGATCAGGGGAAGAAAAAAGGTTGCATGTTGGGTAATTCATCTCATTATCGAAGAACAATTGATTTTGGATGGCAATTTCATAATTAAGAATCACGGGCTAATTCTCATAAAAAAAAAATAATAAAAGAATCACGGGCTAAAACGTAGTCTTAATGCGTAAAATGAATTGAAGTTCTTCTATAGAGGTCTTAAGTTACTTCAGTGGTTTGCCTTTTTGTCTATATCCAAAAGAATCTGAATGTAGAAGTTTGCCTATCCAATTGCATGTCAAGGATAAGCTTGCTTGATATACTTGGAGTGGGGACAAGATTCATGTAATGAAGCTTTTCCCAAATCTGTTAAAATACTTTACAATGCCGTTACTGACATGTGGCGTTAATTTCTCTTATTTGCGTACAACAACACTCGTTAAATTTTAAACGCAATATTATCAGTGCAAAGCCTTGTCAGAAAACTCTTCTTTTATTAATTTTGAAGGAACAGGTTTTTGGGATGGCTTGTGTTCATGGTCCATGTAATGGACTGTGGTTGGAAATCAGGAACGATTGGCTGTAGACTCAACCTCAGTGATAAATTGATATTGCCCAGAGAGTTGAGACAAGGGCGAACTTTGTCTATCTGACTTACTGGTGCTCTTTAATATGTTTGATCTGTTCAAAAATGGCGAAAAGTAAACAACTTGGACTGTGCTAAACTTTTGGGGGTAAGATAATGTTTAATACAATGCAAGCAGAAATTGCCAAGTTAGATATGCTAATAAATCTAAAATTAAGAAGAAGTTTATCTTTTACCATTCTAGAAACAAAATGAAATCATGATATTGGAGATGTACATTAGCCAGAAAATGAATTAAGTATATTAATTGGCAGTTGGTGGGATGGAGAGCTATAGGATCAAGTTATCTTCTTGTAAAGCCACAAAGAACTCACAATTTATTGGGCTTTTGCAGTATTATGCTAATTCTGCTGGAACTGGTCAAAAATTATTTTCGAAGGATGAGGTTATACAGTATGTTAAGGTACACAGCACTCTACATTGCCAGGCTCAACCAACTAAGAGGTCCATGGCCATCAAAAGGCACTCAAGGAACAACCAATTGTGGGTGAGTAAGGAGTGCATGATACCATATAAGACCTTTCCGTCCATTTTCACGTCCTCCATTTCTTTCAAGTCTTCTATTTAATTGGTATGGTACTGTGGTTTACTGTTAGGAGATTGTAGAAGATGCAAATGAACATCCCGATTGGTTACCTCATGGTTGGATTGTGAAGTTCAAAACCAGAAATAGTGGTCAGAGGAGGGGAGAAATATACAAGGTATCAAACGCGTTCATTTTGTGCTGCTTTTGAATGTATATCTTACTAGTCTTTTGCAGATTGGTGCTTGCCATTTCAGATTGTATAATTACTGCCAAATATTTTCCTTGTATGCATATATAATTGTTCTTCATGGGGCTTGCCAATTAGCGGCAACTACAGAATGCACTGGTACCTTGTTACATGCATTTCTATGTTAACCAGATCTCTGAATCTTCTCTATCTATATTTGTCCTAATTGACTTGATTACAACTTTCTTTGGAAAGGTTACATTACTGAAACAAAATCATTTTTTTTATTTTTTTCTAATGATATGAGCACTTTGAAGCCAACTGCGTTTCTTTTGGGACACTTGAAATGAGAAGTTCAGTTGACATGTTTCTGAATTTCCTCAAGCAACTTTTCTTTGTACGAACCAAACATTTTTTTAGTTAATTTGACAGTGCTAGAAGCTGAACCATTTGAAAAAGAAAAAAATCTGCAGAAAGACTTTGTGAATGCCTTTCAGTTGCAACATTCTCATTTTTTTCCCCAAAACCAAATGGACTGCATTTTGACTCAAGTTTGTATGTGACGCATTTTTCTGTTGCAGTGTTACGTTGAGCCATCAACTGGGTTCAAATTCTATTCCAAGCCTGAGGTGTTTCGATATCTCAAAACTGTGAAGCAGAATTGTTGCGCATCCAAGATGAAAACATCCATTTCTATGCAAGGAACAAGCAAAGTTTGTTCTCAGTGTCCTCAAACTTCATTTTATTTGAAACTCAAAACCTTCTTTTATGAAGATTTCTGCTTTTCCATCAGTTATATCATGTGTGCCAGTAACTTGATCTCTCATTTAATTTATCAGTTTTAAAAATTTTGTTTGATAACATGAAATCCTACATAGTATTTGGAAAATAATAAATAAAAGGGGCCATCTTGTTTTGGCCAAATAATATCCTAATATAAGCATTAGCCAAAAGAAAATTTGACACGTACGACACCATATAAGAATCAAGAGCGAAACACAGAATATCTAATGCATCTGCATGCATGAAGAAACTCTATATGAAAGAACCAGTCAGTTGTTGAATTCTGGAACGTTACCTTGAGAATAGGAAATATAGCTTAGTTTAATAAGAATAGGGGAGGGGATATCAATACTTCCAAAGGTTTGAGGAATTTTGCATGTTAAAACCATACATCTCTAGTGCTGCTTTGCATTTCTTGCATTTAGATATCTCAAACCAAAATGTACTAGAAATTCATCTTCGAGTAAAAGCCAATGGGATTGGCATAATGTTTATCCAATTACATTTGGATGTTATGCATGGTTTCACCGTTATAGATTCCTACCACTGAATTTATGCATAAAATCTAGGTTAAGATTAAAAGGTGCACAGTGGAGGATTTACCAGCTGGGTGGATTAAGGAACTCAAGATTAGAAAGCAATGCAGATAGAATCAGAAGAGACCCAGTAAGATCTTGTGATAGCCTATGTGCTTATATGTATAGTTAAGTTCTAATAGTGTGCCCAATGTCTTGCGTCAGAGCATAGTCACCTTGCTGTTTCCTTGACCAAGTTTTTGTGGCGTAACTTTTTTGCCACAGTATTACATGGATCCAGTAACTGGATATGTCTTTCGCTCCAAAAAGGAGGTTCAATGCTACCTCGAGACTGGAGAGATTAGTAGGCATGCATTTCTACCAGAGGAAAGGGACGTCATGGATAAAACCTAGGTACATGTGAACCTAGCTTGGTCCCTAGTATTTAAGAGATACGTCAACTGCCGTACTAGTGGTGGTTTTTGTTGACATCTTCATTCTCATAAGGGGAACACTCATCTTCTGTGATAAAAGTTCCATATTTGGTTTATGGGTAACTAAAATAAAACTCTGTATAGGTACATTACATATGCTTAAAGTCACAGTTATTATGATAAGAATTATTAAAACCTTGAATATGGTGTCCTTGATCATCTATATTAACGTGAAATCTATATTGATTTCTTTATATTATATTAGGAGATTCTGTAAATCCAGTAAAATAGAGAAAGATTCACTTTCTAACTGATGGATATTAGCTTATTCAAGAAAGAAAAAAGATATTACGAATTGAAGACATTCAGGCTGTACATTTCTGTGATTTGGTTATAGCATTGATCAGTATATTGCTCCAGTGTTCTAGAGTAGGATATGCTTCCATGATCTTTTAAAGGATCAAATATTTGTCAACTTTTAACTAAGCAAGATAGAAGCTCTTAAAACAATTTTTTTATTTGGTTACAGCACCGATCACTAAACTTTGCTTCTTGTACGTATGATTATGATGATATATTATGATATTGGAGGATTGCCCTTGCGTGGATTTGTTGCAACTTATAGTAAAAATAAGGAGATATTTGGCAACTTAATGTTGGGAAATTTAGATGGAACTTTAAAAGTTTTCTTCAGAACTTCAGAATTGTAGCCTAAATGCCATGATTTAATTCCATGAACAATAGTATGGTGATTCTATTTCAAACTATCTGGATAGACATAAAAATCTCACCAAGGAAGAGAAGGAAGAATAAGCTTATGTTGACTACATGCTAGGATTGTGGACACCCAGATCAAGCAGTATAAAGTACTGAAAATCAAGCAAGCATGAAGTTTTCAGTGACACCCTGAGTTGAAAGCATAGTACACCATGAATTGACAATTTATCACTATAAGAAATTATAAACATAATTTTTTAAATCTAACTGATTGAGCTGAGAGAGGAAGAGATTTTAAAGTTGCTGGGTTGTGGGATCTTTCAGGTGCTATGAAAACAAGATGGAAACTTCAACGTTTGTGAAATGAACCCTAAATAGGAGTTGTATGTTTATCCAGCAATTTATTTTCAAATAGAAGAATTAGATGTAATGGAGAAATGTAACCCTTGGATCAATATCAAAGTGAATTCCCTTTGCTGTCTTCCAAATCTCTCATACTACAAAGATTAAAGCTCCCTTTGGGATGATGTTAAGAATGAATATATAGCATAATGCCTTGCAGCATGTTAACATTACTCATTATCACCATTTTCTCATTAGATTTTAATTTTCCTCTTTTTGACTTTGGTTTTCACTGGCGTCAAATAAACTTGACTGTCTTGATGCATGGAGTTCTCTAAAGATTGTTATGTCTCAAGAAGCTGGAGCATTCTGCTAGCCCCTTCCATAGATAAACTTTCATTAGAAAAAATCAAGAAACATCTCCTATAATTGAGCCTGATGCCTCATCCACTACAACTAGCAACCATGACAATGGCAGGCTATTTTAGTAACTTAGTGGTATTCAGTTTCTAGTAGGTTTCCATTATTTATGCTGGTTTCAAGTTTTAAATTGCTTAGCATAACTGCATTTTATTATTTTCTTTTTTAGCCATCACCTGCAGCCAAAAGGCCAAAGTTAGAGCATGCTGCTACCAAGCAACAACTTAATGCAGGTGATGAGTCAATTTGAAAATAATTAATTAGATCTGACATTAATGCAAAGGGGAAAGGTTAGTAATGCCTAAACTCCATTGCTATTGTGTAGAGGAACTCAATGATGCAGCTAAGCGGAGTCCTAAAGATTATGTGAATGTTAATGGTACTGTATTTAAGGAAAATTCTAATACTACCTGTTCAGAACCCTCAGAACAGAAAGTTTGCAGTAGCTCCCAATGCAAGGAGGATGCTGCTAATAATCGAGTTGTTTTAATCCCTGATGCTGATATTGTGCTCCAGCATAACTCTCTTGAGAACAGGATGAAAGTAAAAACCAAAAATACTTTGAGCAAATCCACCAACAAGAAAGGACTGAACATGCCTCTTCGGATTTCAAAACGACTTGCTGGGGGTGAACCTCAATTAGTGACCAGTCCAGTATTAGGCGCGCTAGCTAAAACTTTGCTGCTGGTGCCCACATCAGTAAATCCTGATGAGAAACATATGGAAAAGAATGTGACTGATAATGGTGCTGGATCCAATGAGAACTCCAACGACAAGAAAGGACTGTGCTTGCCTCTTCAATCTTCAAAACGACTTGCTGGACCTGAACCTGAGTTGGTGGCTTGCTCAACAGTGGTTCTCCCTGAGAAATGTCTGAAACAGAATGTGATTGATAATTGTGTTGAATCCAAGGAACACTGCAATGACAAGAAATTCATGCACTTGGCTCTTCGGTCTTCAAAAAGACTTGCTGGACTTGAACCTGAGTTGGTGGCTACCTCAGCATCAAGTGAACAAGCTGAAGCTGAACCTGAGTTGGTAACTCGCTCATTGGTTGAAACACGTCTGAAACCAAATGTGACTAATAATGGTTCTGAATTCAAGGAGAACTCCAATGACAAGAAAGGACTGTGCCTGTCTCTTTGGTCTTCGAAACGACTTGCTGGACTTGAACCTGAGTTGGTGGCCAACTTGCCATCCACTGTGCATGCTCAAATTACTACTCAAGCTCCCACAACTTTGATTCCTGCAGAGAAGTGCCCAAAATTTAATGGTGCTGAATCTAGGGAAAATAAGGCAAGTGAGTCAGAGGCAGAGCTGCCAAAGGCCAAAGTTTTGAAGAGAAACCAAGACAAAGAGTTCAGCGCTGACAACATACTTACTTTAACTCCTGAGGTTGGCATCAAGCAAATGCTGAACTGTCATGAGAGTGGGATGAAAAGGAGAGGAAAAATGAAAACTTGGAGTAGTTCCAGTAAATCTGGTTGCAAGAAACAAGTTAAATCTGCTCTTCAGTATTCAAAGCGACTTGCTGGACTTGAATCTGAGTGTGTGGCCAACTCAGAGTCTAGTGAGCAAGCTCTTCAAAATGGCATTATGTCTGGTAAAAGAGAGCCCATTCCAGCAATTAAAGCAACTATGGCTGATGAAGTGTCTGAACTGCATGAGGCTGAGTGCAAAACTTCACATCCATGTCATGCTCCTCATGTTAATAATTCATTCGACAAAGAGACGTCAAACAAGAGCCAAAAGTCTCTTGATGACCAAGCTGTTCCCAAGGAGAAATCACAAGAGCTGGAAACAGACAACCCACTTATGAACATAATAGAAAAGAGTAACAATGAGAAAACTTCGATTTACTGGCGCAAATCTAAACCCAGGAAAGAGCTTAATTTGCCTTGTCGGTCTTCAAAACGACTTTCAGAGCTTCAACCTCAGCCAATATTAAGCTCAATCACCAATGACCATGCTCTTCACGTTGGAGTTAGAAAGTCTAATAAAACCAAAGCTATTATTGGTGTGGGTGTAGTTCCGTATAGTATGGCTGATCGAGCAGCTCAGCAAGTCAAGGCTGGACCAGAAGTACAACATGCACATTATTGTTCTGCAGATGTAACTGCTACATTACACGAAGAGTCATCCGAGAATAGAAAAGAGCCTCTTGATGATCATACAGTTACGAAAGCAAAGTCAGAAAACCTGGACACTGAGAAATTGAATAATGAGAAGCCAGAACCGCAGGTCTCATTTTCCTTTGGGGATTTTTGGTCAGACCCATGCCTTGAATTTGCATTCAAGACTCTTACAGGTGCGATCCCAATAGATCATTATCTGCCAATTCAGAATTACTTCCAGCAACAAGTTAATGCATCTCAAACCCTGAGGAATGGTAACTTACAGCACCAAGTTGACCCCTCTCAGACCCAAAAGGATGTTAGTCTGACACTGCCAGATTTGGGCTTACCAAGCTTTGACATCTCAGGCCACTTTGACAATCCAGAGAAACAATCTGAATCCCAACCACAACGTCCCTTGAATAGTTGTTCATTCCTGCCCTCTGGGATTGTCACCTTACCAAGTTGCAGCAGCATTACTTTTCAACAACCTCAGTGGGAGGGGAACAAGTCACTAAATTAGAAAGGCAAACTCCTTGCGTCACAGTGCGAGGATAATGCAAGATTGTAAGTACTGTACTGATCCATGTATGTTTTTCGGACAGTAGCCTTTATGCTCTGATAGTTTTGCTTTTGTAGCCTAATGCTGTATAATCTTAAGAGGCCAGTCGGCCAGAAACATGACTAGGGCTTCACGACCCTGTCACGTGTTTGTTTTCTACCTCCTTTTGGCAGTGTATAAAATGTGAAGTTCAACGTCAATTGGGAACTCTTGAATCTTCAAACGTTTCCTGAAGAATTTCTTTTACCTTTTTGTGCAGCACATCATGATAAACAATTCACGCTTGCAGTTGGTGAAATTGGAATAGCTTTTGTAATTAAACTTGTAACGAAAAGTGAACCCAACCCAAATTTTATCATGGCTATACGATCGAAACAACATTATAAATTTTTGGAAAAAATTAATTCGACTATTACGAATTATTTTTTATAAATAATATGCTTTTTTTAAATTATTTATTTAATATTGACTGCACAAGACATCACGCCATTGCTTAAAAATATGACACGCTTAAGAATATGACATATTGTATTGTACTAAAAACTAAAACAAACGAAAAGTTTACTATCCAAATGAACAGTAAACACAGCTAAGCTGGGAAGTTTATTGTTCAAATGAACAGTAAAATAAATGGAAAATTTGCTATCCAAATGAACAGTAATTTACTGTTCATTACTTAAAATAGGCATTTTTTTGATTTTCTACACTGGTATTTTCGTGATATATATATATATATATATATATATATATGTTTTTCAAATTTTACATTTCATTTCTTTTTGGTCTTTTATGTTTTCAAAATGTATTTTTAGATCCTCATATTTTTAAGAATATGTTGAAATCTCATGTTTTTAATTTAGTCCATTTTTGCCTCACTTCTTTTTCAAAACATATTTTTTGTTCTCATAGTTTTTTTTTAAAAATATTTTTGGCCTTTTATGTTTTTAAATTTTAGAAAAAAATATTAGATTATATTTTTTATTGATTAAAATTAATCTCTTAAATTTTTCATTTATTATAAAAATTCTCATCAAATTTAACATTTTTTTATGAAATTTTATTTGTTAATAAATATGATTTATTTTTCTCTCGTTTATGAATTTTTAATATATTTTTAATAAATAATAGAATTTATGTGTTTCTTTACCTTATTCTTGACATAATTTATTTTTTTTTTGAAATAAAAATTTTAAATTATTTTTATTACAATAGATTAATTTTAATATATTTCTTATAACTTAAGTTTTTTAAACATATTTTTTAATCTGTACATAGTATAGTAATGATGTATACATTTACATCAATGGTTTTATTAAAAATTAATTATGCATCTATACATATAATGTCAAATATTTTCTATTAATTAATTTTAATATTCTAAATTTAATTTATTTTAAATAAAATAATATTTTAAAAGAACCACCTAATAATTCTAATACATGTTTTTATATCTAATATTATTAATCGTTTTATATGCGTGTGTGTCTACAGATCAAATTTACATATTTTTAAAATGTTTAAAAAGATTCTTAAAATAAAAAAATAAATTATTCATGGTCAAAAAAGATTAAAAAGATTAAATAATTTATTTTTGAAACCAAACGAATTAATTCATTCATTTCTCAAAATGAGATGAACTAATTTATAATTTACTTTGCAATTCAAGTATCCCTTTTATCGTAGCTTAAGAAGTAAAATTTATGAGAACCAATTTTGCAGTATTTTTTATTTCAATTTATTAACTTTAATATATTCTATACAATTTAGATGATTGTTTTTTTTTTGAAGTATTTGTTTATACTATATATTTTGAATATACTAAGTGTGTATATATATATATTAGCTTTGTTGAAAATTAATTATGTATCCGCATACATAACACCATTACTCCATTCGGTTCAAAAACTATTTTCTTTTGTCCTTTTTTTGGTATTTCAATGCTTTTGTTTTTTTTTAAGAAATGCGGAAAGACTACAAAAAATATGAAAAAAATACATTTTTAAAATAAAAAAATAAATTTTTCATGGCCAACACCGATAAAAAATTAATTAATTCATTTTTCAAAATGAGATGAACTGATTTATTATTTAATTTACAATTTAAGATTCTCTTTCATCATAAATTAAGAAGGAAGATTTATGGGAACCAATTTTGTAGTAGTTTTTATTTCACTTTATTGACTTTAATATATTCCATACAACTTAGTTTTTTTTTTTTTTAATTTATTTATACTATATACTATGAATCTACCAACTATAATCATACATACATACATACATACATACATACATATAGTTTTGTTTAAAATTAATTATGTATCCACATAACACCATTAGTCCCTTTGGTTCAAAAAAAAAATTTTTTTTTTCCTTTTTGCTATATCAATGGTTCTATTTTTTGTTTTAAAAAATACAGAAAGAATTAAAAAATAAGTAAAAATATGAAAAAAGATATTTTTAAAAATAAAAAATAAATTATTCTTGGTCAATGTTGATAAAAAAATTAAATAATTTATTTTTTAAATGAAAAGAATTAATTAATTCATTTTTCAAAATGAGATGGACTAATTTATAATTTAATTTGCAATTCAAGAATCTCTTTCATCACAAATTAAGAAGTCAAATTTATGGAAATCAATTTTGTATTAATTTTTATTTCAATTTATTAACTTTAATATATTCCATACAATTTAGATTTTTTTTTAAAAAAAATATTTGTTTATACTACATACTATGAATATACTAAGTATGCTTATATATATATATAGTTTTGTTTAAAATTAATTATGTATCCACATAACACCATTAGTCCCTTTGGTTAAAATATATATATATATATATATATATATATATATATATATATATATATATATATATATATATATATATATATATATTTTTTTTTCCTTTTTGCTATATCAATGGTTCTATTTTTTGTTTTAAAAAATACAGAAAGAATTAAAAAATAAGTAAAAATATGAAAAAAGATATTTTTAAAAATAAAAAAATAAATTATTCTTGGTCAACGCTGATAAAAAAATTAAATAATTTATTTTTGAAACCAAAAGAATTAATTAATTCATTTTTCAAAATGAGATGGACTAATTTATAATTTAATTTGCAATTCAAGAATCTCTTTTATCACAAATTAAGAAGTCAAATTTATGGGAATCAATTTTGTATTAATTTTTATTTCAATTTATTAAAGTTAATATATTCCATACAATTTAGATTTTTTTTAAAAAAATATTTGTTTATACTACATATTATGAATCTACTAAGTATGCTTATATATATATATATATATATAGTTTTGTTAGAAATTAATTATATATCCGCATATATAACACTAATTATCCGTAATTTATTCTTTTTTATATTCTAAAATTAATATTTTAAAATAAAATAATTGAAATATATATCACTATTTTTGTTATAAATTAATTATGTATTTTCACACATAACCCAAGTTATTTGTTATTTATTCTTTTTTTATGTTCTAAAATCAATATTTTTTAAATAAAATAATTAAAATAATGTTTTGAAAGAACCTTTCAATTATTCAACTACAACCTTTTATGCTAATATTATTGATTATTTTGTTAATAAATATATATAAATCAAAATATTTTACTCAGCAAATAGATTTGATTTATATTAATTATGAGAAATTAGATTTTTACTCGCACTACGTTTACAAATCGTTGACCTTACATATATAACGGTTATCCGATCACAACGTAGTGCGAGTATCTAACCCGTGACTCACTAATCTAACTAAAAGATATGGCTACATTAAAGCCAAGATCTTACCACTTATATATTATAGGGATAAAATAGTCGATTGAATAAAGAAGTTAGATGTGAACTTTTTTGAACAATTTTTTTTAGGAGGGATACCTAGAGGCCTTGGCGGCTTATCATTTTGCTCTACCGCATTATGCAATTTTTTATGCTCGTGTGCTTGCCTAGAGTCATGTTAGGAGTACTAAAAAGAATATCGTGACTAAGGTGGTGTTTGATAAAATTAAAAATTAAGTACCGAATCCGTTAAGTACCGAATTTTAAGTCTTTGCATAAATAAGTATTGAATTTTAAGTTGACAAGTTGTTTGGTGTTAACTGAAAATTAAGTGTTGAATACAATAAGTTTGTTTGATAAGTACTTGTTGCTGAACATATTAAAGCTATATATATGATAATTTTAAGCTTACAATTGTAACATGATATTTTTTAACACAAATAAAAATATAATTTATGTGTATAAATAGATAAATAAATAAATAAATAAAAATTCAATAAAAATGATTATTAATAAAAAAATTAAACACAATCTAAGATAACATTAATTGTCATATCATGCACATAATAAATAAATCTCAATTACTAATCAATTCATTTGCAATTTGATCTTGTAAATTAATCATAAATATTTGATCAGCTCGTGCTTGCACCCCTTATCGGATGAATGGTAAATTTACGAGTAATATTTGGTGTTTGATGCATCACATCATCACCATCAAATTGTTTAAAAATGCTGTCGAGTAACAATTATTCTTCGAAGATAATTATGTATTACAACACATGCAATAACAATATCTCTTTGAACTACAAATGGATACGGAGCTATTTTCTTTAGAATTGGAAATCTTGCTTTTAGAACACCAAATGCTTATTCAATAACATTCCTTAATTTTGCATGTGCATGATTAAGTGCTTCTTCTTTTGATCTTGGATGATGACCATTGCGAAAATCGAATTACCAATATCATGTATTACGATATGGTGCCATAAACCCTCTAGTATGCGCATATGCAACATCATAAAGATAATATTTATCTCTAATCAAATATTAATCTAATAAATTACATAAAAAAATGTAAAAATTATTAACATAATACACGTAGTAATAACGTTTCTTAAGGGCAATTTTCTATAAAAAAGAATTTAAGAAGAATGGAAA